GGGGCTGGGGGGCACCAGCTCGCACAGGCCCTGGGGCAGGGATGCAGGTTGAACGGGAGCAGCAGCGCGACAGGGAGCAGGGATCCCCCGTGCGCGGCGCCGCAGGGTGTTTTGAGGCAGGGGAAGCTGTTTGCTCAAGTCTGCACATGCTGTTCAAAGGCTTCTGGTTTGTCTTCCAGGAAAGCAGCCCACGAGCTTTGAGGAGGAAGAGATCTGCCTTATCAAAGGAGCCAGCTGAACCCTGGGGTTAAACAGTCCCTGCTAGCTGTTCTGCCAAGGTCAGCTCTTCTAAGAGGGAGGTGGCTTTGCATGATAATGTGTGGTCTGACACAGTGCTACTGATGTACTTGTCAGGATCTTTCGGTTTGTTCTGTGTTTAGGAAATTATGCCACAAAAGCACGTCTTGAAGTTACAAGAATTTCAGAAACTTAAGGTTTCTGAAAAAGCAGTCCTTATCAATGGTCATTAGGTAAGCAGACATAGCATTAGCCAGAACTTCCACTTTGTAATTACTAGATTCTGTAATCTGAATTTGCCAAAAAAGTTTTAAGACCGTGGGGAGGAAAAAAAAACAAAATATTGAAGGCAAGTATGGGAACCTGACAGGAAGCAAGCTCAGTAGTTGTCATTTTATTAAGGAAAGTTTTGAACAGACTTTTCCAACTGGCACTATGAGGTTGTTCTATGTATAGACTTGCTGCTGACATGCATGGTGGGTAGTGTGTGAAATGTCCAAGGATATACAGGGCAAAAGCTAAGAGTGTAAGATTTAAGAAGTATAAAAGGATACCTCTAACACTGCTTCTATATTTGTATATATTGTCCTTAAAGTGTTCCTCTTTCCCAGGATGCTTGGGATGAGCTATCATGCTTGTTACTTTCTCTTTTTCCCTTGAGATCATTGAAACTTCTTCCACCCATGGTTGATTATTATCCTTTTTTTCCTACCTCTGTCCAAAGGACTTGCCAGCATCCTGTTTCCCTGTTGCTCCCTGGTACTTTGGGCCACCTTCCCTGTCACCCCTGTGCCCAGGGGAGCTGCAGTTGGGGAGCACTGAGGGTGTCCCCATCAGCTGGAGATGGCACTGGACAGCAGCAGCAGCACATGAGGGAAGGGATTGCTTGTTGGAGCAGTTAAGAGCTGTAATACTCATACCAGGAGAGCTCTAAGGAGATTCCTAAGCAGGGTAGCACATCAGTGCAACAGGACTTGGGGTGGTAGGGGTGAAAGGAATTTAAAGTAAAAGGGTGGTGGGGGGGAAGGAAATATCTTCATATGCTGCATGTGTCTTTGCTTCTAGTGTAGCTTTTGTTTTATTTTGAACTTGTTACTTAAAAGCTGGCCTCCCATTTAAGCACTAAGGACAACTAATGCTTTTGCTAGAAATCAGCAGGTAAATCAGGGTGTTGACCTTGCAGTTCAGGGCATATGGACATAGCTGAACCCATGAGATATCCTGGGGCTTAAGCAAGGCCATGAGTTCTGCAGTGAAAAGCACAGTAAGCTGCAGAGCCAAAGTTCACTTCCATGCCACACCAGGCAAACATCTTTCTGGGCTCCAGACAAGGTTTTTACCTGGGGTCCTGCTCAGCTGGAGCAGTTGATGCTGATGCAGCTCAGCTGCTCCCAAGCCCCACGGCAGCTGGCTCAGGGCTACCTCGTCCTGCCTCCATGAGCCCTCAGTGGAACTGGCTTGGGCAGGCTTGTTTTCCAAGAGGGGCTTCTCTCTTGAGCTGTGAACTCTGTTTTATCATGCTTTATATATTGGATCGAGCACAGTAATTCAATGCGCTCAGGTATTAATGTCAAGGCTGTCATGAGGTATTTTAGTAAAGAATGAGATGGAAAATCAGGATCAAAGGAATGTTGTTGCTGACTGGGACTTGATGGACTTGGGGAGGAACAGCTGTTTAGAGGCTGGTTTTTTTTTTTTTTTTTTTTTTTTTTCTTTTGCACTGAGGTCTGGCCTGCTTGCTGGAAAGCAGGAGAGGCCTGGCGGCTTGTCTGTATTTCCGAAGATGGTAAATGACAGAAGCATACATGAAAGCTTCCCTTTCTTATTGTGTAAGACTAATTTTCACTGAAACACTGAAACGTCTGTTTTAGAAGAGCAACCCCTTTCCATGCAGCCCTTCCTCGCTGCATCCTTATATGGCAGATCTGGCCTTCAGCTTCACCGCAGCCCCCTTCTCCCTAACGTGGGAACCCTCAAACACAGCACATGCTCTTGCTGTACTTGTGATAGGAACTTCCCGGCTGTTCCTGAAGAGCCTGAAGAATGTAAACCCATGGCTGAAGGGAAAACCGCGTGTGTAGCAAAGCTGGGTTTCTGGAGCTGGAGCCTGCAGAGGCTCACTCTGTGCCAAACCAGCTTTCCAGGGGTTAGTTTAGTACTTGCTGGCCTGTGAGCTGGTGGCTTTTCCAAGCCTAGTGTCCCAAAACTGTTGTGGGCAGATGTGTGCCTGGGCTGAAAGCATGGACCGCTCTGAGCGGGAAGTGCTGAGCCAGGCCTGGGAGGAGGCATTTTGCCTCTGAGAGGTGAACAGTGGAGGAAAGGGGTGAATTTGACACCTCGCCGCTTATCTCTTCCCCCACGTGCTTCAAGTCTGAGAGCAAGGCTACAAGGCAGAAGAGTCTTCTCCTTATGCTTGTGGTCCCATTTCTCGAGGACATCTGCAGAACTTCAGCTGCAGAACCTGTCTTGGAGTGGGAGAGACCCTCCACTTTATACCTGCAGTATTAAGTAATACCCAACTTTCTGCACGAGCGTAATTAAAATTAATCATTTGTAAGCAAACCAGTGTGGTTTTAAATGCATAGGAGGCTTTGATACAATTTGGTTTGTCTTTTGTATCTGGAGAGTACCCTGCTGCCAAAATGGATTTCACTGAACGCAGATAAGAGAAGGAAATCAAATGCAAGGTCAAATTAGGATTCATGTGCTGCATTTGTGCATGGGTGCTGCCACGTTTGCTCAGCTCTCCTTGAGACCATGTGAGAACTGACTTTAAACCTATGTCTCCATCCGTGCTTGATTTTGCATAAGTTTGCATATCCCTGCTGTTTGGAAGTCAGTTCCTGCCAGCTGGCTCCACAGGTAAAGCTTTCCCAGGTCTGGTGGAAGGGAGGAAACTGGAGCTAACTTCTCAAGAGCCACCTCAGCAATTTTTGTCAAAGTAAAAGAACGTGTTAAAATGGCACTTCGGACGCTTCTAAAGCCAAGATGCAAGCCTTTATGTTATTTTGAGAAAAAATATGTGAAAAATGCATTATATTTCAAAAGTCTTAATTGCACAGCCTAATTAAACTTATAATGGCTTATTAAAATATAATAGTAAAATAAAATGTAACAAAATACAATTATTTTAAAAACATTTATGTTCAAACAGAAAAGACAGGGCTTCTTCTGATTACCCTCTGCATCTTGTAGGTAATAAGAAAACAGTATAATACAGAGATTGGAAATATACATTTATTAAGAATATGACTTTCAGTGCACTGTTTTCAGTATCCTGGTTCCAGGTGTGCTGTTATTTCAGCTTACATTTTTTAATAGCCGAAATTTTCTAGTAAGAGGGGGAAAAAAAGGTTTTTGATAGGATGCCATCAGCTCAAAGTGACTTGAAATCACTTCCAAAACTGCCATTGGCTGTGGTTCTCCCTTGAGATATCTCTGCTTAATTCAAGAATATGCAGCTTTAGAAAGGCATCCATTTCTTGGGAATGAATTCCTGCCTCCTGCTGTTTTGGAATACTCTCATAGAGGCAAGGGAAACATGCAGGCAAAGTGAATCTCTATTGCTTTATATTTTTGTAGTATCTTGGATAGTTGTTTTATTTTAACCTCTGGAGACAAGGAATTAATGAAAAGAACTTCTTTCTTTTCAAGATAAGAGAACAATATGTACTGCCAGGGCAGAAAGTTTATGAAGATAACTTTTTATTGCCTCAGAGTGGAAAGTGAAGGAGATACCAATGTTATTTTTCTTTTTTATAATCTTTTGGGAGAAAAAATGTTGACTGTTTGATATTAAAATTACGGACCTTATTCTCTGGACTTTTTCCATTATGATTAAAAAGGAATTCAAAGGGTGCCTACCTGTATATTTGCATGTCACTAGAAGGACCAAGGCAATGCCCACACCTCTGTTTTATAAGTCATTCTTCCAGGAACTGTGAGTATGAAATATACACCTTTAGTTCCTGGTGGATTTTGTATTTCCTTTGCACAGACCAGAAGGTATTTCTAAACTGCTTCTAGCAATGCTTTGTAACTGGCACTTAATGGGAGAGGTGGGAGGAAGCCTGAAAAAGTTGCTGTCATGCCCATTTTTTGCCATGGGAGTAAAATGACCCTTTCAAAATTGCAAATTCCTTTCTATGATGCGAGAAAAGTGTTAGATCTTAGTTCTGTGAAATGCTCCGAGGTGCTCTGTGTTTTAGCAATACGGGATTTCCTTGGAACGAGCAGCAGCTGAATCCTAGAGTTTCCCAGAGTGCTTTCGGTGCTCCGTTCAGTGGAAGCCTTCCCAACAGCAGGAACAAATCAGCTGAAGTGGCGTGGACGGAGCGCGCGTCCCAGCCGCGGTGACCTGGGCACGGAGCCGCTCGGGGCGGCGGGAGCACAGGGGCTGCCCGGCCAAGGCTGCTGCCTGCGGGGCCTGGATGGTGCCCTGGGGGCAGCTGGGTGACTGCAGGTGCAAAACCTTGCACCATGGGGTTCAACAATAACTAGAAATATTAAAATAGATACACACATAAATATAAATAAATGAATATAAATGTAATATAAAATCCTGTAGAATGCAGCTGTCTTATTTCATCTGCTACCATGCACTTCTATCCATTATTCTCTTTTTCTTCAGAATTTCACCAGAGGCTTATCAGAAAGAAAGATATTTTGATTTTGCCTAAATTAGGAAGCTCACCACCTCTGCAGAGGGAAAAGTTGCTGTGTCAGAGTCGTTGGTGAATAATTGTGGCATCTTTTTGCTTTAGGAAACAGGCGTACAGAAATGAGGAGCAATCTGTTTCAGCAGCTCCTGTGGCTGCTGGTGCTCCTCTCCGACGCTGTGCCATTCAACGATGAGAAGTTACTGAGAGAGAGAGCGATCCAGCTGATGCAAGATACACGTTTAATTGATGGGTATGGAAAATGTCTTGTGTTCAAATAAGCCCTCTCAGGAAACCTTGATAAGTGAGGAGGAGACAGTAAAATGTCTGTGGATGAGCAGAGCCTGCCTTGCAGGCAGCAGTTGGTCATTGCAGTGATTTATGTCTCCAGGAATCTCAGTTCAGAATGTGCTTACTCCAGGGTCAGGATATTCTAAATGAGCTTGCAATTTTCTGATTGGATTCCAGCACCATTTATTTTTCTTTTACACAATATCCTTATCTCCTTCCTGTAATCTAATGGCATCTTTCATTAGCCATGACTTTTGCCTTCAGCTGAGAGTAAAGCACCAGAACTTAAAAGGGTGCTCTTGCAGCTCAAAGAAATGGTTGTGCTGAGTGTAGTTTGACCTGGTGCATGATGCCACAAGTATTTGATTCCAAGGAGCATGGCTGCTGATTTCAGCAATGCTGTTCCTTTAGTATGGATGGTGAGGAAAATAGGTATAGAAACATAAGAGCTACAAACCTGGGAAAGGCCAAGAAGATTTTCGTTGTTCTGATTATAGAGCATTTTAAGGAATAAAACTTGCTCGGGAAGGAGGGAGTCTTTTAAGCATATGTTACTGCAAGTATTACTGACAATTACTGGCTTAAGGGGCTAAGTTAAGAAAGTGGCCATTAAAGTAAAATTGGCTTAGAAGGGGAAGGACTTTGTCTCACACGACCTTTTTGTTTGTTATTCTAGCCACAATGACTTTGCGCTGCGGCTGAGAATATTTTACCAAAATAGACTCAGTCAAGTCAATTTACGGGAAGTCAACCAGACCCACACAAACCTTAGGAAGCTCCAGGCGGGCTTTGTGGGAGCTCAGGTGTGTACCGCTGCCGCGAGATGGTTGGAGAAGGCATTTTTGCACTTGCCTGTCCCTCAGTCACAGAAGTACTAGGGATTTTAGGTGTGCTGTGAAGTATTTAAGTACTTCAAAAGACCTTAGTCATACTTGATTGAGGGGGAGGGTTTTACTTTGAGGTTGTAACTCTTCCTTTTTTGAGGGGAGGGAGAGAGGGAGGAGGGAAAACTGTAGTCACAACTCTCTGGTGAACTGTAGGAAACTGTGTTTTTCATTATTGTACAAATGACCTTGTTCCTAGCAATCAGCTGTTTCTGAGTTGGAGGCCAGGTTACCTAGTTCACTTGTCAATCAATGTCTCTTGCAGTTTTGGTCAGTGTATGTTCTTTGCAGCGCTCAGAACAAGGATGCTGTACGCCTGACCTTAGAGCAAATTGATGTTGTCAAAAGGATGTGCAACAGCTATGAAGAACTTGAGCTTGTGACGACTTCCCAAGGTTATGCTCTTTTTTCATAATAGACATTTTAATAACATTGCAGGAATTATGTGCAAAAGAGAGCTGCAAGCAGGCAAGTTATCCTGGTCTTGAGAGTGTGCTTCACTGAATAAGCAATCAATAACTGAGTCTGTGCAAAGTCTCAGCAGTCAGAACATAATTTGCCGTATAAGTGTGCACTGCACTGAGCTGTTGCATAAAGATGTCAGTGTTATTGCTTCCAATTTTCAATAACAAATATTACTCAGTAGAACTGGCTTCTTATCTATCATGGAATTACTTTGCAGTTCTCTTCCTCTGATGTTTCCAGGCATCTCGGACAGTACGAAGATTGCCTGCTTGATAGGAATAGAAGGTGGCCACTCCATTGACAGCAGCCTGGCCACGCTGCGGATGTACTATGAGCTGGGCGCTCGCTACCTGACTTTAACCCATTCCTGCAATACGCCGTGGTAACCAGTGTGCCTGTGTGTGTGTAGCTGCCTAAAGCTGTGCTGCTCCCCAGATGGGCCAACAGTGGATTCAGGCAGAGGGATCTCCTGCTTGGTCTGAAACACTGCTGTAAACATAGTGGGTTGGGTTGGGGGGGAGCGTTTTTATTTTTTCTGGGATATGGGGCAAGTTGGAGACTTATTGTGACAATTCAGGAGCTTTACAATTTTGTTAATGCAGAAATATGGGGAAATTGCTGTCCTCCTCCTTTTACTAGAAAAGTTGCCTAGGGCAAAGCAGGAAGAAAAAGGGTACTTAAAATGCAAATTATGTAAATTTGAGGGTAAGTGCTATGTGAAGGTTTGGCAGTTGACAGTCAAGACTGTTCGTCTGTACAGTTGCCAGAGGGGCCCATGGTTCCTGTGTCACAGTGAGAGCACCTACTCCTTGCTTGGCCAGTGTCCTCTCTTATACAGACTTGGGGGAAAGGGAAGTGTGTGCAGACACACACATAGCTGACAGGAAACTGCCATTTTGGATGGATTTCAGTGTATGTTTTCTGACAGGGGATTGTTTAATGGGAAACTTTCTGACAAGCTTCTCCTTGCTTGTGTTGCGTTACTTTGCAAACTATGTTTGTGCAATGGTCCTGAACCTGAAGGAATAACTTCTAGAGTATAGTTATGAACATAAAATGCACTGTGCCAGTAAGATGCATATTGCAGCTTGTTCTCCCTAACTCTGGCTGTGACACCAAGGTAGTGATTTCTATTGTGTGGCATAAGAACTGTCAGCTGCTGGTTTTGTGATCTCCAGAATGACGTTATGTTTCTCCTCCCTTGCTCCCCTTCTTAAGGTCTGAATCATCGTCTAAGGGAATACATAGGTTTTATCCTAATGTTGATGGTCTCACTGAGTTTGGCCAAGTAAGAACTTCTTTTGAATGATAATCAAACCAGGCTTTTATGCAATTAACAGCTTCTGGCCTTTTCAGAAAGCAACCAGTCAGTAAAAATTAATTACTAGCAATTCTTACTACTTAGAAGGGAGGTGAGAGCTCAAAAAAGACAAATTCCTTGTGATGTTCCAAAGGGTAATGGTAGCATTAGATTTAATTACAACAGTTTTGATGATGTGATCAGATGTATGAATTAGTCTGTGGAAATAGTGGGATTTGAATAAAAATCTGAAGGATTAGGTTTGGAGTACTTGTGTCGTGATAAAATGCAGTTTGACTGAGCTTTGTGCATCTTGAGCATATGGTGGTGTGCTGCTATTGTGAGTGAAGATCCTCCTATTAAATTAATAGGCAAGTAGACACACATACAGACATAGCATGTTTATAGCTAGCTGACAGCTGCAGAATCTATTTATCTGATTTAATGCATTAGCTAAATGGTTTCCTTTAAAGAAATGTAATACTGATACTGTTGCTTATACATCTGTTTTAGGAAGTGGTAAAGGAGATGAACCGAGCTACTTCTACAGTAGGAGGGTGGGTGAAATCAAAAAAAAAAAAAAAAAAAAAAAAGGGGGGGGGGGGAAAGAGGAGGAAAAAAAAAATCACTTTTGTGCCTGATCCATGATGTCATATTTACCTGTGCATAGATGGAACTGGAGCCTAATCCACACAAGATGCTTGTGAGGTTTGCAGAAAGCCTGAGTGGCTGTTCACTGTCTGTCTGTCTCTTTCAGAAAAGCAACAAGGGGATTATCATGGTGACTTTCAATGCAGATGTACTGGCCTGTGGCAGAAAAGCTGTTACTGTTTCTACCCTGGCAGGTTTGAAGTTAATATACTGCAATTCTTATGAGTGGCTTCTATGAATTTTTTGGCATCAATCATGTTTCAGAATGAGGGAATTGTGCTGCTTGCTTTTTTCCTATCCTACTTTATCCCAGTTCTGGGTCTTTTTTAGACTGTACGTTCATTTCAACATAGCAAGAGATTTAAGATATTAATACATAGCTGTAGGAACTGATGCTTCCAAAGGGAGCTAAGAATCATTAATCTCAAAATAGTCATTACTTTCTGGAAAATGCCCTAAACCTTTGCAGCTAAGAGTGGAAAATCTCGGTGTATAATGGGTTGCATACAATCTATTTGTGTATGTAATATATTTACTGGGAATTAATATACTGTGATGTTCATATCTTTTTCCTTGTTAACATCTCTCCAAAGTAGCTGTTATTTTGAAGACTGTTATCTAGAGTACATAGCAACAATTAACATTCAGCTAAGCACCAATAAATCTTTAAAAAAAAAAAAAACAAAAAAAACAAACTGCATTATTATGTTTTAACTTGTTTTATTGGGATGTCTTTAGATATTTTTTGATTATGAATCCACAACTAGGGAGAATGCTACCCTATTACTGATGTGTCTGAACAGAACAGTTTCTTCCTGGTGTATGCCTAGATTATGTTTTGGCTTCTTTGATATTTTATTTTAGATCATTTTGACCATATAAAGAAAATTGCAGGCTTTGAATCAATAGGAATTGGTGGAGACTATGATGGAGTAGAACAGTAAGTAAAACCATATGTGCACTAATATTTGCTGCTTAAGTTATGAAGGTTTTGAGTTTAAGTTATGAGGGTCTCTCAAAGAGACGTACTATGTTATCCTGTGAGGACAACTGAAACACAGTTTTGTAAGAGAAGCAGAATGTGGCCAACAGCCTGGTCTCTGCAACGCAATGCTACTTGTTCCTCACTTGCTCATTTCTTGAGGATGCTGTGAGCTGGGTTAACACGATACACTGCAGAACAGGAAATAACTGTAGCTTGGGTGCCCTCTGCAAGGATAACCCTAGCTTTACTCTTTTTTTTTTTTTTTTTTTAATGTTGAATCTCCAGCTGTTTCATCTCTTTGCTGGGATCAGACACTTTTGGGTGTGAAAGTCATATTGAGATTCACATGTATCAAGTTGGATGACCACAAAATAACTTTCTCCCACGGGTTTAGCTAATGATAGTTCTGAAATTATAATCTCCAAATAAACCATATCAGAAGGAGACACTTAATTATGTGCAATTTCACAAAGAGCGCGAGTTTAATGGATGGTGAAATTGTAACTAAACCATAGAAAATAATGGCAGAGATTGAGTGAGATATGTTTGACAGCAGCCACCTCAAAAGAAAAGAATAACATAGTGGTTTCAAAACAAAGTTGAAGACTTACGGAAACTCAGTTTGACATTGCTGTTAAATGCAGGTTTGGCAGCTCCTTACTTCCAGTTTTCCTTTATTCTGAAAAGTGTTAGCATAAGGCATGCAAACAGTTTTGCTGCTTGTAATTTCAGCAGAGGTTTTTTGAGTAGTTTGCCTTATATTGCCTTATATAAGTTACTGAATTCAAAGCAACACTATTGCTCTAATTTTATTTTGTTTGGATTAAAAAAAAAAGTAACTAACAATTCAGAGTTGCCAGCTGTTCTTTACTGCATGATGCTTTTGCAGGTTCCCTTTTGCTCACAGCTATAGGGATGGAATGAAGAAGCTCCATCTGTAACACAGCTGTTTCTTCTTAGTCTAAAGACAGATCTAGGGAGGAATTACAACATGAGATTTTTTTTTTCAATTTTTATTTTAATATCCTTTAGGCTGTTGTCTTGCTGCATGTAAGTGCTGTTTCATTTCAGAAATGGTACTTCTAGTACTTCTAATTAGGATCCTCCATGAAGGAAAAAGCCTCACATTGTGTCCCAGTCCTATTTCTGGCTATATCCACTGGAGTCTTATTTATTTATTTACTTATTTTATTTCTTGGAGAAAGAATCTAGTCCCCAGTGACTTCATTCCTGATGTGATTTTCTGTGAAATAATTAAAAAAGTTTTCTACATTTTTCAGTGATCTATGTTGAATATGCTTGCGTGAATTTCACCAACAGTTTCCCTGAGGGACTGGAAGATGTTTCTAAATACCCATCTTTGATTGGGGAACTTCTTAGAAGAGGATGGAATGAAACAGAACTGAAAGGGGTCTTACGGGAGAACTTCCTCCGTGTCTTTAGGGAAGCAGAAAAGGTAAGATTAAAACCTAAACTGAATCCTAATCCCTGTTAAGGGGGAAGAGAGGTACAGTCACTGCCTTGCCATTTTGCTCAATGAGTTAGAAAGAAATATGAACACTGAGTGTAATAAATCTAAATACTGGGAAAACAACCAAGATTGCGAAAGAGCGTTAGCAGAATAAAGGACGCGAGC